ATCAGTCTAAATATAGTATAACCTAAATTCATTCCTATGACATATTTAAAAAAACTTCCATTCCATTTTACATAAATCAAATCACACACCGAACCATATAAGTTTCTTAAAACCATCTTGCCGAACCATCATTAGCTACCTAACTAATATATTATAATGTCATTACGTCGTTTCTGACTTGCATACTTAACAAAATATGTAATGACTTCTTTCTAATAGTATATTTTATAACATATACTATGAAAACATACATAATTAGCATATGAAAATAGTTGGGCCCAAATTTTTCTTTACATACAAAATATAATTTTTTACATATATCAAAATAACAAGTACAAAAACTTAGCAACGGTGGACAGTAATGCCAATTCTCTCCGCTTGTCGATGNCTCCTTTCTTTTAAACTTGTGCCAATAAGATTTTAATCTTCTTAAATCGCTATGTTTATTTATTATAATATCTTTATTCATATTCCGTCTATTTGTTTCCTATTCTCATTTAAATAAAACAAATCAATATATATTCTGATGTGAATTATCAAAATTTTAATTACAAAACTAAAATGCTCAATAAAACATAAACAATATTTAATATTTTAATAGATATTTAATAAAAATGTTAGACAACAGTATTTATAAGAATGTTAAAGAATTAAACGTATTCAACAAACATCAATCTAAATATATTATAATCTTGATTAACAAAAACTATAAATAACCATTTCTATTACAAATTTTAAAAAACTTCCATACCATTATTAATCGAACAAAATCCTATGTCGAATCATAGAATCATATAAGTATTTTATAACCATCTTGCCAAACCATAATTAACTGCTTAACTAATATATTATGACATCATCATGACTTCTATCTAACACAATATTTATTACCCTTTCCTTTAAAACTCTACCAATAAGATTTTATTATTATTAAATCGGCGTGTTTATTTATTGTAAGTTTTAAGGGGATTACCAAGTGATTAAAGCTTATGCGGAATGGGTTGCTTGTTCAATTTAGTGCAAGTGAGTTGCAAATGATTGAATTAAATCATACATAAAAACAAGTAAAGAATAGGCTCATTTTTACATGGTTCGGCATCAAGCCTACATCCATGGGACCATGTTCAGAGAAGCAAATTCACTATGAAATACTTATGAGTTCAATTATAAAGCATGATAACCAAAAGATGTAAAACAGTCTCTGTTTTCTACACAACGATTCTATCTTGTTTGATCGAACTTCAAACCATCACAGCAAGCTTCACATGCACAACAACATCATGTCGAAGAAGAGCTCCTCTCAAGAATCAACAATGAAGATAGGACAGTAGCTTACATTCAAGCTCTCATCATAGGGAAAACAACATCTAAAAGATCCTACACAAGGATAAGTGATGAGGGTAATTCTAAGCCTACCAAAGCATAGTGAGAAACCTTAACAAAAACAAGAACCTTAGAGAATATTCAGAGAGGCAAAACAATGTAATCAGGTTTCTTGCAAAACAAAAACAAAACGGGAGAATATAAAGAGATCAATACGTTAAAGGTTAGGAGACAAAAAAGTTAAACTTTAACTTTTATGTCTTTCTTTTTACACAAGACATTTTGGAACCACAGACAAAAGAAATATTTTTTTTCTTACACAACGAATAAACAGGGGACAAGTGTAAAGAATAAGACAGAAAATCAATCAAGAAATAATTATGTCTATAAGTGAAAACAAATGCGTGAAGTGTGATTTGAGAAAAAATATCTGCCAGAAACGTTGTGAACACACATAGGCTAAAGTGCTCACACTTGTGAAGGTGGTTACCTTTAGAAGTGTGTGCACAATGCTCGAAGATCAAGAATAGGCAGGACACAAAATTAGGATTATAAGATGATAAAAACACTAACATTTATTATAATATCTCTATTCATATTCTAACAGTTTGTTTCCTTTTCACATTTAAATAATACGAATCAATATATATATTCTTATGTGAATTAGCAAAATTTTAATTACAAAATTACAATGATGAATAAAACATAAACAATATTTAATAAGAATATTAGACAACAATAATTATGAGAATGTCAAAGAATTAAACACGTTCAACAAACATCAGTCTAAATATAGTATAACCTAAATTGACAAAATCTATAAATAACCATTCCTATGACATATTTAAAAAAACTTTTATTTCATTATTAATAAAATAAAATCCCACGCTGAACCATATAATTTTTTTAAAACTATCATTAACTACTTAATTAATATATTATAATATCATCATGACATCTTTGACTTGCATAATTAACAAAATATTTATTACCCTTTTCTTTAATGTTGGGCGAATAGTCTACTAGCATTTCATATCTCCTTATCCAAAGAGTTATGAACATTTTTTCAATCGACATGTTTATTTATTACCGGTTGCCTATTCAGTTTCCACCTCTTTGTATCCTATTCTCCTATAAATATTACTCTGACATTAATCGCTCATTTAAATTTCTTCAAATATGATGCACCTTCATTGTTCGTTGCTTCTCCCCAAGTTAATTTGACAATGGTTGACAAAACATCGTAACCAAACGAGTCTGCAACGAATATCAGTAGCATCGTCAACAACAATAATTCTTCACCAAAGGAACTAGAAGGTATGAACTTTCCACCTCTTTGTATCCTATTCTCCTATAAATGTTACTATGACATTAATCACTCATTTAAATTGCTTCAAATACTATACACTTTCATTGTTCATTGCTTCTTCCCAAGTTAATTTGACAATGGCTGACACAACAACACAACAAAAAGAGTCTGCAACATGTCAACAATAATAACTCTCCACCAAAGGAAGTAAAAGGTATGAACAAAAAATTACAAAATGTCAAATGAAATACTAATACATATTTGCAGGAATATTAAAAAAAAAAAAAAAAAAAAATCCTCTTTTGATATGTTAAAAGTTCGTTTCATGATTATATTTACAAATTCATATTACTGTTTTCATATAGTTATAAAATTTGATTGTAATTTGTTTCCCCAATTGATTTAGCAATTGTTCAAATAACGTCGGAATTGACGGACATTCTCCAGAAAGTTGACAAAAATTTAGACGATCTACATGCTGCTAGACAAAAATTCAAAGAAGTCATTGACTAGATGTTAGACATCATGCAATCTACCATGGATATTATTTATAATATAAACAAAAGGGAGTATGCATTTGCAGTAGAGGAACTAAAAATCTTAAGAAAAATAGAAAATAAACACCACCTACATCATCCAAACCTACTTCACAAAGTGAAAAACCAATGTACTTATTTTCTTTACAATAAAAGTATTATTTTCTATGTTCGACTTTATCTTGATCTCAATGTTACTCATTGGTTGATTGACATTTAGTACTCATTTTGTGAGTGGACAATTGTTCCATCTTGACACCTTGGATTGACACATTGGATTTGCGGTTTAATGAGCCTACTAAAATTTTTCCATCTTGACAGGTTAGGTTTGAATTAATTACTTTATCTTTACACGTTGGATGAGTATTGATAATAATTATATAGGTACATTGCATTAGCATTCCAAAGATCTAACTATTTTGACACGTTGGATGTGTATTAATAACAATTACATAAGTGCATTCCATTAGCATTCCAATAGTCTAAACAAAAAAATATAAAGATTGAAGTTAGTCTCTTCATATTTTGTTTTGTAGCTCTACAATTGCTCCATTTTGACACGTTGGATGCGTGATTTAATGACATCTATTTACAATTTATTTCAAAAACATCGAATAAATATACCCGCGTAACGTGCAAGCCCACCGTCTAGTTAATGTAAGTCAAAGTTGGAAATGAGAATTTAAAAAAAAAAAAATGAAAAGGGTATTGAATTAAATTCTTAATTTTAATTAAAAGAGTAAAAATTGAAGACAAAGAACATTTTCAGTTCTCCCAAAACAAGTTTACTATTTGGTTTATACCAATGAGTAGCTTCATGACCAATTATAAGAGAAATTAGAGAATAGCTAGTATTGTTATAGAACTGAACTGTTCATTCTGCTTCCATGGTGAATCTCATTGTTAGTTTACTGATAATAGTTAAGAGTTAACGGTGGGCTATGCTAGCCCATGCCACGACAAAGCACAACACACAAAAAAACATGACACGACAAGACATGACATGAAAAAAAACACGGCACAGCACAGCACAAGCTATGATCATTCGGACTGTGTTATGAGCCTTAAAACAAGTACACGAGTCGACACAACACAACACCGAAAAAATTGAAAAAAGCGTAACCATAATTTCTAAATATGTATTTTTAATTTATAATTATAACTGGTAAAAAATGTTAAAATTCAATTAATATTTCTATGTCTCATTATTTTATTATATTAATTAATACAAATACAAAATATCACAAAATATAACATATAAAATATCTTTTTAATAATTATTAATAATAAATCAAAATTACCATAATTTATAAACATTAAAAAAATTTATAGGCGGACAAACAAAACACGTGAACCAACCCACGACACGATATATAACTGACCGTGTCGTAGGGCTTTCGATCTGGTGGACTGACACAACACAAGACAGAATTTCTACAGGCTTTGGCATGACACAAGCAGCCTTATATTTTTAAACACAACACGACCAACCACCAATTCTAATAAGAGTCTCGGTTTATATTTTCACACAAACATCCACCAATCAAAAGTCACCATGTCATTACATGTGAATGTGACACATTCGCACCAAATAATTATTTGCATCATTGTTTGTACACCCATAGGCCATTACACACACGACCCTTGACTCTTCGTACCAAAAATCCAAACCCAAACCCGATCTCAAAACATACATAAACAGCAAATCGCAAGCCACCAACTAAAAGCAATGGTGTAAATTGCTTTATTTTTCCAAAACTACTTCCACTACAGAATTAAATTACGATAATTAAGAGAATGCAAAACTAAAATGATCAAGAGCACAAACAAGGTTCAAGCACAAAATGGCAACTTTTTTTTTCCTTTTGCTTTTTCTGGAAAATGAAACCAAACTCCAATTAAACTATTAAATCTCATTCACTCCTTAACAAAGCTAAATAGTAAAATACCTACCAGAGAGGCCAATCTCCCCTATAACCCCAAATTAAAACCAACAAACAAAAAGAAAAAAAAAAGGAACAGAAAGAAGAAAAAGAAAGAAAAGGCAAGAAAAGCCACTAGAACTACACGAATCTTCAAGCTCAAAAAAATGCTTATGGTGCAGCAGCAACAGAAGGAACAGAGTTTTCTATCGATTTCATTACGGTGCCCATCTCCTGGGTGGGGGATGCAATGAGGGAGAGACTTTTTGTTAGATTGATGAGAGACTCCTCAAAATTCCTATCTCCTGCTTTCACATGCTTCTGAGAAGAAGAAAATAGTACGCTCAATGTAAGTGCAAATAACGCCAATGGCAAAAGAAACTTTAGTTAGAAGACGATGTGCATTTGAAATGAACTAAAGCTTCTGATAGTGTAGTGGAACGCGATCGATTAGATCAAAATGGAGATGTGATAACTCAAACAAAATTGAGAAGATGATTTTATGTTCGATCGAAAAGAAAAAAAAGATAACTTACTGGGAAACCGTCATCCTTAATCCTCTGAGTAGCTGGCTTAGTGCTCTTTTTAACATTTTGAGACTTCTCTCGGGTTTCATAGAAGTTAAAATCATCTAACAATGATGTTTTTGCTGAGCAACCCTTGAAAATCTTCAGCATTTCTAAACCTTGCTGTAACCCAATCTGCAATTCATAGTGACAAAACATTAATTAACTTGAAATGGTTGCAAATCTTCTTCAAAACAACTGGATCATTCATCAAAACCATGTTAAGTAAATAGTATTACATACATGTTAAGATGATTAAACCAACATGTTTTAAAAATATTACGTAAAAGAAAAGGAAAAATCTTGACAAGCAAGAGGCATAAATCAATTTGACTTAAGGTTTCAACATAAGTTCAATTCTAAAGGTAAAGAATAATAAGGAAACAAGATCAAAAGTTATATACAGCATTCCAAGCATGTAAAATCTGAATGTCATCAACCAAGAGAAATTAAAGTGTAAATACCTCTTGAGTGTCTCTGCTATGGGTTACAGGCTTGTTTTCATTATTTTCAAGAATGATATGCCGTAATTGAGCATTAGGAACATCTTTGACTACGTGCCACTTTACTGGGAAGAACCCATTCCACTTGTCAAGTTGCCAAAAGTCCATATCTTTGTTAAAGTCTACTTGCCCAATCATCTCAGCTAAGCCAACAAATTGTCCACTTCCATTAACCTAAAACCAATTATAAGTCTTTAAGGGAGAGAGAAATACAATAGTATATTTACATTAACACATTACAAAAAGAGATAAATCAACAGAAGTTTACAAAACTTCCAATGGTAAACACATGATCATATGCCAACAACCAAAAAAAAAAAAGGGCAAAAAGATTGATGAGACGAAAGTTCTAGCTACAACGGAATATGATGTAAATAGTACACATAGCAAGTGAAACAAATAGTTTCACTGAAGTCTAAATAAGAATCATTAATACGCTTACCGAGAAAAAGAGGAAGATAGGACATTTTGCTCCTGTTTTGCTTGTTTTCGGTTCTACCTCACGAAATGCCGCATCTAGCTTCTTATTACCATTTGGAGTGCTTGCCCATACGTCATACTTAATGCACTTATGAATGTCATCTTCATTGTAGGACTTGATGACATAAAATTTTGCTTTTTCATACTCAGTTTGGAAATCTGGTAAGTTATATTGATCTCTACATACTGCTACCCCCAACTCTTCCTTCTTGACTGAAAAGTCCAAAGGGGCACTCTTATTGTGGGCCCTTGGACCACGAGTTAGTTCAACCGCTGATTCCAAATCACCATTTCTACTAAATCTGTCTCTTGACTTATATCTATCATTTCCATTCCACAGCCTCCCATTTGTTTTGTAGTTCACCTGACTGTTGGGTGGGTAAAGACCTTGTTTTTGGTTAGCAAATGATGAGTACTTTCCTGTGGAGGGGTATCCCTTCAAAAGGCCTGCTGCAAAATCAGAACCCAATTGAGGCACCTGCTGCACAAAAGGTCATAGTATCAAAACATTTAAAGTTCACAAATTCCACTGTACCAATATCTGCAAAATTCCTTTTCCCAAGACATTCAATTAATTTAAAAAATAATATTTACAACTCAACAACAGCATAAGTAGATCCAGCAAGTATGGATAAATACATGGCAGCCATTTAAAAAACATAATAAACTTCTTATATTTGGTGTAGAGAAAAAATCCATTGAACTGGATAGCAGTGCAAAGGCTGTCTCCTTAAAAATGTCATAGCCAAAAACCTATAACTCAGCATAAGAATAGAAGGGATTGAAAGAAATTTAAAAAAATAAAAAAAAATGCTATAAGGTAAAGAGTAAAAATGCTGTTTCTAACAAGGCAATAAGTCGGTTGTCTTCATCAGATAACTAAAAAACATACAAATGATAATGAGATTAAGTCCATTTCCATATCCTGGAAACAGCCAAATAATATGGGTATATAAACCCTACGTAATGATTCAGTTCAACAGTTAAAAAGTTTAACCAAAAATTTAGTAACACCAAGCACCAGAACAAATGTGATGAGACCACGAACATATTGGTGTATGGAAGAAGAAATTAAGAGGTGAGGAGAAGTTGAAGGATGATTTGGTCAGGCTTTGTGCACAATTTGGGAGTGTGGTACCAGGTTTACGGGAGAGTGACAAGCGGCAAGTGATAATTTGAGTAAGGCTGAATTCTGTAATGGTGAGTGAGTGAGCAGAATAAAAAGAAAGGTCAGAGAATCGGAGGGATTCATTGAGAAAAGTTAAAAAGGGAAAAAGGGGTTGGAGAGGTGCTGGCCCTCGAAGTCCAGCTGGGTTCTATTGTTCATCTTTTGTTCTTCTACTGCTGATAATGGTTGCTTTATTTTTCTGTCTGTCAATCTTGATTGTAGTGGGAATGATTATCATTAGATCAGTGTTGTTGCTGGTTTATGTTTATATAAATATCAAAGTTATTCAGTATCTCGTGTGTTGGAATTGTTGTGTGGTAATTGAATTGCCTTGATGAATGAAAGTTTGTGTCAGTGTTCTGAGGAGGTTTAGGAGTGTTCTGGTTTTGGTTTTGTGGAAGTTTATTGCTAGGAAATTCTGGGTTCCTATCAAAATGATAATATGAAATGATTACAATATTCTGCTAGAAGAGTTCAAGTATGTGTACCTTGGTTAGTGGTTTCGTAGGTTGTGCATATGAACACTTAGAAAATTTGTTAGTAACGTTTCCATTTGTTTTCATATAGTTCAAGCTATTCGACTTTCCATAAGCAGTAGAGCTACCATATTTTGCATTTCCAGAACCAGCAGAATTTCCATTTTGAGCATCTCCAACATATGTTGAATCCCATGTATAGCATGGCATAGCTTCTGCTCCATAGGAAACAGGGTGTTGGAGATATCCCGAGGATGAAAAATATGGTTGTTGACCAACACATTGCCCATCAACACCAACAATAGCTCCCGTCCCATATGGATCGTAGCCAGGCAGATAATAGATAAGTGAACCATTGTCAGATTGCATACCCTGCAGCAACCATCCATCATAGAAATATCAGTGCTAAGATGTCAACAGAATGTAACAGGAACACAAATAAATAAAACACAGTATTGCAAAAAGTAGATGTGGAAGAACATACCGAATGAGAGGGATCTGTATGAAAATATCCATTATTGTCCACTTGAGTAAATGGTCCATTATATGCTACAACATGACAGTTACAAATTCAAAAGTGTCAATATCAATGTCCCAATGAAAGCTACATCTAGATTAATGAAGATTTACACACAACAATATACAATATCTAACCTGGGTACAAATAGTTGTCAAAGACAGTAGGTTGACTGCGAGCACCATGCTCTCCAACTGACTCTTGATTAGTCTCACCTTTCATGCTAGAAGGTGTATCCCCCAAGGAGGCCATGGTGGTTGTTAAGTCAGAACGTATTCCATTGTTTCCAGAAGTCTGCAAAGAAAAGGTTTAAAAATTCTAAATGAATAAGAAAATATATAAAATAATAGAAGAAGAAAATTTGACAACAAATTTAACAATTATAACTTGTTTCTATAAACATCATACCCTCCCAATTAAAAAAAGTTTTATGTTGTTAAATATTTATATACATAAAGCAAAATAGCAATAAGCACTATCTTCTGCCAAAATTAGCATCACTTATTCACTTACAGGGAGAAGTTTGTATTTTTTTATATTCATATATGAAAAAAGTCATACACTTGCATATGGAATGACATTCACATAACATTAGCTTGCAGTTAATAGCCAGGACCATAATTTCCAAAGAATGTTGGATTATATAAATATGAATTGATCTCTTCCCTATAAATTTAAATAAGTAAATTTATGTTCTCTGACCATTGTGATGATAAAACATAATTTGTGACATACCACATCACGCTCAGCTGATTTACTGATGGGATCTGACTTCAATTCTGTTGCCAATGGCTGATCTATTAAATAAATGTATAAGAAAAAAAAAGGATTAGATTTTTCATGGCATCAAATTACAGAAAACTAAAAAAGAGGGAGCACTTAAATACGCACAAATAAATTCAAGATAATCATCACATCAGAGAAGCAAAATCAGATAACAATACAGGGAAATCGAGTTTGACAATCAAAACTCTAATTAATACAATCGATGGTTAAAGGTATAAACTTCCCACTTGCATGCCAAAAGTACATCTACCAGTGAGCTTCAAAAGCATAAATTCATGTATCCATGTCATAATAGTAATCGACTAATGAGGTAAATAAGACAATTAAAATCATAAAGCATTTCCAAACATCCACATCAATTCAATTACTCAGCAATTCAATATCCAAAACAATAAAATCATCTATCACGGGGTTAGTAATCTTCATTAAATTTCCAACAGCCCTCAATTGCCTCAACTTCTAGAAATCAGCCTTCCACTAATCACACAGTTCCGTCCACTCACCACATCCAAAATTCCCACTGGGTCAGTCAACAAAGTCAACTTCTTCTTTAAAAGTACTAAACCATAAATCTCGAAAACTCACTTAGCAAAATAAAAACATGTATCACACAAGCAGCCGCTAATTTTCACTAAATTTCAGACGGTTCTTAATAACATCAACTTTTGAACATCAAGTTACCCATTAATAAAACAGCTCCATCCTCTTCATCACATCCAAAAATATCAACTTTTATTTATTAGGATAACAAGAAATCTCTTAAACCCACTTAGCAAACTCAGTTTTGACACTAAGCCCCTCTTGACAAACCCTACAATGTTTGATAAGCAAGGAACTGCCAACTTCTCGTCAACAAAATAACCCCAAAGAATCAGACCCCAAACATATAAACCAAACACAGTCCCGCAGTTTCACCAAAAACTTCAAAAGACTAAAAACGCAACACCAGCTAAACCAATGGAAAAAGGGAAAAAAAAAAGTACCTTTCTCAATGTTCTTTTCTCCAGCCATTACAATTCTTCTTCAAATACCCAATTAGCTCCTGTATATAAAAATATCTACATATATTAATCTTCAATTAAGATATCCTACAGAAAAAAAAAAATCAGAAAACAATTAAATTAACAAAAATGGACAAGCACGTGTAAGCACACCCTCCAAATTTAATATCTTCCAAGAAAGATTCGATTCCTCTTAAATACAAAGTACAAATATTCTCCTTTTTCTTCTGAAAACGATATATCCTTTAAAAAGAAAAACTTTTTTTGATATTCTGAAGCCAGGAAAAATAATTATAATAAAAAGATGATCAAAGCTTAGATATTTTTGAGGAAAAATACAGAAATTTGAAATTTCAGGAAAATAATTTAAAATAAAAAGATGACAAAAGACAAAAGTTTTTATTTCTTTTTGGAGAAAATTCAGTTTCATTGAACCAAAAAAAGGGTAAATTCAAGGGGCAAAAAAAAAAGCTAAAATATCATAACCTACTAAGTTACCGGCATTCAACAATGACAACGATGACATAACGATGTCCCAGTAACGTTACAGGTACCACATTTTAATTTGTCTAATTAAAGAAAAACATTTTCTTAAGAAATTGAAGAACCTAAATTAAAAAGAAATCAGTAAATAAAAAATAAAAAATAATAAATAAAATTAAATGAATAACCATAAACTACAAAGCAAAATAAAAAATTTTAAAGACAAAACAAAGAAGACTTCACATTCAAACTAAAACCACAAAAAGTTAGAAAAAATTACAAAAACCCAAAGCGAGTAACAAACAAACCTAAAATCGACGGATCGAGCAGCCGAAGCGATCTGAGAGGATAAAACCCGCCGGGAAGCCACTCAACCGCTTCCGACCAGCCGACGGACGAAAGGCGGATTTATACGGCGAGGGACGGGTCGAGTAGAGTGTGCGGTTCAAAGAGAGAAGGAAGGAGAGTCGGAGCGGAGCTACGAGAGTGAAGTAAGGTTATAAAGGAGAGAATGAAAGGATGAGATTAGTTCCTGCTTTTGAGAAAAAGTGATTGGGACCGTTGGATGTGAGGTATAGGTCAAAACAGAGGAAACGGAAATAGGTACGCAACAGAGGGGTGTTCAAAAAAATGTAAAAACCGAACCGAACCGCTAACACCGCACTGAAAAAACGGTTAACCGAAAAAACGGTTCGGTTACGGTTTGAAAAATTCAAAAAACCGAATTTTCGGTTCGGTTACCGGTTCGGGCAAAATTAGAAACGGTTAACCGAAAACCGGTTTTCTAAACCGGTTTTTCAAATATATATATATATTAATAATAACCTAAACTAAAATAAATCCCTAATTCACTCAATCTAAAATCCCAACCCAAATTTTTTTTCTTAGTTTCTAATGTATTGTCTATATTTACAATTTAATTTAGGACAAAATTAAAAAAAAAGTTTTATAAAAAAAAAGGGAAAACCGTTCAAAACCGGTTAACCGCTTTTTTTAAAACGGTTAACCGGTTTTCCCTAAAACCGGTTCAGTTTCGGTTCGGAAATTTTTCCGAACCGAAAATCCGGTTCGGTTTAGAAAAGCGGTTAACCGGTTCGGTTAACCGCTTTTGAACACCCCTACGCAACAGAGGGATGAAAGCAAGTCCCAACGTGTCGGGAACAGTGACATTTTTCTTTTTTAAATAATTAATTCAATTTAGTAATGGGATATTTTTCCGTTCGGAGATTTAATAAATAATAATTACTTCTATAATTTTAAAAATAACAATATATATTCTCCAATCTCATGTATGATTAATTAATAAATATTTATTCAATTGTCCCTCTTTTATTTATTTTAATGTCAAAAACTTGTTAGAACTTAGCAATACGATAATTTCCATAATTATTATAATTATAATAGGATTTTTGTTAATCTAAGGGATATTATTGTATTGATCCTTGATTAATTAATTTTTGTGTTTGAGTGTACCATTTCTTTTTGGGGCAAATTCAATTTCTTCTTATTTTATTTTATTTTTGGTTTGGATAAGGTGGATTTTTTATTTTAGATTTTAGAATATATTTATTCTTTTTAATATTTGATTGTTTTACATATAAGAAATGGAAATTGGAAAAAAGAAAAAGAGAAGCTACTCGATTGTTTCTTGATGCATTTATTAATGTTGAGTTAATTTGTTTCCAAAACTAGCACAAAAAATATTACAAATTCTAGCACCCAAAAATGTCGCTATATATATTTTAATTTTTGTTTTATTATTTTTCAAAATTGAAGGGTATTGTGTATGATTTTTCCATTAAGTTCGAAGAAGTTAGAAAAACACAAGGATCTAGTTCGACCTAGAATCAATTCGACTCGGCACTTGTCCGACCCAGCACAAGTTAGTCACGACCAACTTTGGCAATTGTTAGACAAACCACATATAAGCTTAAATCTCGGATATTTCGAAAGAGATCAGATCAACAGCAATGATAGCGCGATCTTAGTAAACAATCACGAGAATATCGAAATTATAATTTGAATTTGATTGCAATCCCGATAATTTCTCTCTTTCCTTTTTTATAAACTTGTATATAAATCCCCTCCAACGATGAAAGAGGGGTTAGCAAATTATTCTAGGCAAGCTTATTGTTATTCTTGTAACCCATCAAAAGCAATAAGATAATAGTGGACATAGGCTCAAGTTCTAACTTGCCGAACCGCTTTAAAATCGTTTGTGTTCTTTACTTTAAACGTATTTTTTCATTACTTTGCTGGTTTCATTAAATCACAAACACATCGGTTTCAATTCCACCAAAGTCAATCGGATCACTTAGGTTGGTGCAATTTTTGTATCAACATTTTGGCTTTAGAAGGAGGGCCTCCGCCTACGTTCCCTATTTCCCGCAAGAAACAAGCAATTTCAGTGAACAACTGATCACCTAAAATTTCCAATGGCATGTAACAGATCCAAAACAACCACTAGAAACCATAACAATGTGAAAGCCGCCCACTAGGAGGTGCATCAGACCGTTGCTCCAGGTCGACCACTAGTGTCGCTAGTGTCACAAGTCGCAAATCAGCAGGGAGTAGGGACTTCTGATCTTGAGAATGGCCAACTGATGGAGATGATAAGGACGATGGTTGCATAGGCGGTACAACAAAACGTGGCTGAGTTAAGAAACGAGCAGCTGGCCAACCGAGATCTCGATCAACCACGTTTCATAGAGGTTACTCCTACAGGTCTTAATAACTTTGCTGGCTACCAATCTAGTTCATCCCCCAACACTGCAAGGCACCTTTTGCTCACGAGCATGAGTCTCGCGGGCAAGTTAACCCTAGGAGGTGACCAGGTAAGCAACCCATGGGGGAACATGAAGGCAATGGTCGTCAAACGGATGCTCGCCTTAATCGACAAAACACCCAATGCCACCGTGCTGGTTTTAACCCACGCTAGAAGCGAGCTCAAACCTCACAAGCTCGCGAGATTAGCCATGCACGCCAATTTGGGAACAACCGATGTTTTGGTTTTAACCAATGTTGCAAGCAACGTATCGAAGAACATGATAACACCTACATCCTAGCCATCATGACTCCACCTCATGAACTAGCATGCCTGACAGAGCAAGCTCACAAGAGATTGATCTTCAAACTCATCTGCTCGAGGTAAGGCTGAGTAGAGCTCACAGTTAGAATACTCCCTATGATGACGACTTAGATCGGGTGTAGAAAATGCTCGATGATCTAAGAGCCCGCTAGAATAATTCAACGGAACAAATAGTAAGTTCCCTATTCACGGAGCAAACCCATCATGCCCTGCTTCCCCAGGGATTTAGGGTGCTTGAGAACAAGTTCGATGGGAAAGTGGATCCCAAAGATCACCTCGATTCCTTCAACGACTTAATGAAGCTACATTAGGTCTCCGACTTGGCAAAGTGATGCTATTTCATGGTCACTTTAGTAGGAGATGCCAAGAGGTGGTATAAAAGGCTAAAGGCGAACTCAATCCAATTGTGGCAATAGTTTTCCTCGTTCTATCTCCAACAATTCCAAGTGAGGAGACAATTCACCATGTCGCTCAGTTATCTGAGTAATATTCGTCAAGAGAAAAATGAAACTCTGACCTCGTATTTAACAAGATTCTAAACGAGCAATTCAAAGTTGCGGACGCTTCTAAGGAATCAATTCGGACTCTATTAATTGCTGGAATAACGCCACAAATGGAGTTATGGAAAGAACTCCAGAGTGAAGACCATGTTAGTTTGGCCAAGTTCTACCAAATGGTAACCAAACATCAACGAGTTGAGAGCTCACTAGCAACCTTAGTCGGTAGTTCCTCAAGAAGAGTCCTCAACCAGTGGCAAGATCACTCAGCAAACAAAAGGAAGGGCTAGGATCAAAATTATAAGGACCGAAATAAGTTCCCAAAAAGACAGAGAACGGAATGCTGCGGGGAAAAAAAACATTTTTCGCGGTATGCAGAATACATCCCCCTGATAGAATGTGGCGCACATCTACGAAGTCTCTCGCGAGGTTAAAACATTGCCCGCTGTTAGAGTAGGTGCCCTAGAGCCAATCAATTATTGTAAAATTGATTCTGTAATAAATGTTTATTTATCAATAAAAGGCATATTATTCTATATTGTGTATGTAATGATATATGTCTTTAGGATGGTAGAATCGTGATGAGGGTATCAAGTGTTTCAAATCTTGATAGTGAGAACCCTATGATCACATATGGTGGCTATTCTGGAAACATCTGTAGCCCTAGTATTATTCTGACAAAGGACACAGATAATACGGTAAGGCTATCATAGTGTTGAACGACCTTGTCGAAAGGCAGTGACTGATCTCACTTGTAAAGGTTGTTTACCGACAACCTGGTGTAATGCATGGGTGCTTGCTAGAGGCAAGTTCACTAGACAGATCTACTAGAGGATTCCATATGGATGGTAACCCTAGTGTCTATGGAATAAATCCTCTAACGGATGGTGGTGCATGTGATCCTTAGACTTGAGATCATCAGAGCACCTTGCGCACCAATTAGTGTAATTTGACACTAGCCCAACGTAGTTCTATTCAGAGCTATCAATACGGTAGTGATTGGCTACATTGAGAAGTGTATCAAGACTATGGTGGATCGACAAAGGATTCATCACTCCTAGGTACGGGAGAAGTTACCTCACTGGGTAATTCAGTAAATGGCAAGACACTAAATCTGTGGCCGCAGTTGGATTGAGTTGATGTTCAATCCAATTTAATATTATTCATGTCATTGATCCAGTAACTGAATACAAACATGTCGAGGATATCTGAGGTTGACACTATTTTTGTACCTCAGTCTCGATGAGATAACAGTTGATGAAAGGATTTGATTGCACGGTAACCAAACCATTGACAGGCTGCGGTTTCACTGAATACGAATCTATCAGGTGGCCATGATGCCTTGCTAGGGGCCAATCCTGGTCTGTGTGTAGTGACATGATTAATTGATGTTAATCGCAATAATACACACTGCCGATATGATGAGGAGCCTACGGGTCACACACTTAGAAGATAATTTAAGAATCAATTTGTGAGAAGGGTATTTTCGTCTTTTAGGATGAAAGGGTATTCTGGTAATTTCACAGTGTAATTAAATTTGCTGAGGTTGTTGCTTGTATTTAATTTTAATATTAAAATTAAATTAGTGAGATTATATTTAAATATATCTCCGTATATATTTAAATGAATTATTATTATTAATTAAATGTTAATATATTATTGTATATTAATTGATTTTAATTATAATAATAATTAATTAATTAAAATACCATAAAGAGTGTGTTTGGTTGCAAGGGTGAACTA